TTTTCAACCGGGTGAGTACCTTATCTGCTCTTCTCTCTCTATTTTTTTTTACGTTTCATATCGGTAACTTCAATGTTGACCTGACATCATTTATCTGGCAGTATATTATCCATTTTTAGGATACTTCGGTTTTGGAGATCCCACAGAAGCAGAAGAACATCGGAGACGCAATCCGAACTTGGATTTGAAGAATAAAGTTGGAAAAAGTAAAAGCCTTCGATCAACCGAGATGGCAGGACGCATGAACCTTCTCAAGGCTTGGAGAAGAATCCCAACCGATCTCAAAGCGTTATCGACCAACCATCGTCGACAAGAGTGGAGCCGAGCCCGGCTATTGTGAGTGAACCAGTCGTCATGGATAATCAGCCACCACTCACTGTCGAGCCGATACAACAAGTGATAATGCCGGTAAATGAGCTCATTACTGAAACCGAAGTCTCACAAGAGCTGCCCGAGGAGTCCTGTTTGGGCCTGGTTCACCGCCGTAAGAGATCAAGTGTGTCTCATGTGGTCGAGAGAATGAAGAAAAGACAAGACACCGGCGTGGGCAAAGACAAGAAGGAGGAAGAGCCTGAGATCATCATGAGAGAGTCGTTCCTTAGAGTGAACGAGAAAAAGGCTGCCGACTTGAAGTTGCCAGAAGATGTGTTTGATCCTTGGTTCACGATGTATCAGACTGTTGTCGAGCCGAAAGTTCCGAACAATCATCGATTCCCCGATGAGGCAGTGAAGACGACGAAGGTCCCCTTGATGTCGTGGGATCCGAAGACTCACGTCGGGATCGCGTCTTTACCCGATGATCAAAAATTTAGCTATGCCAAAGGTTGTTTGGGATGAGCACTTGTCAGTTTTATTGCGGCCCAGGAGAGTTATCGGGGTAAGGTCTCTGAGCTCGATGAGAAGCAGCACGAGCTAAGCTTGAAGGAGGGAGCAGTGGCTTCCTTGGAGGAAGAAAAGTCTCAATTTGCGGCGTCAATGTCAGAGAAGGACGCACAATTGAAGGCGGCGCAAACTGAAGTGGGGGCACTCAAAACCAAAAAGGAAAATTTGTTGTTGGCCCACGATCTTGGGTGATTAATTTAAAAAA